TGTTCAGAGGGACCTGAACTTCCTGGAGGATAACCCTTCCCTTAAGGACATCATGTTAGCCAATCAGCCCTCACCCCGCATGACATCTCCCTTCATGAGCCTGAGACCTACCAACCCAGCCATGCAGGCTCTGAGCTCCCAGAAACGGGAGGTCCACAACAGGTCTCCAGTGAGCTTCAGAGAGGGCCGCAGAGCATCGGATACCTCCCTCACCCAAGGTGAGCACTTCCTCCTCTGCGTTTTGAAACTTGTGTCGGAGGGGGGTTTCTTGCCCTCTTGGTGTGATCACCTATGATCACTGAAAGGCCTTGTATTTTATTTAAACTGTTTTATCTTTGTACTTTCTTTCAGGAATTGTAGCATTTAGACAACACCTTCAGAATCTGGCTAGAACCAAAGGAATTCTAGAGTTGAACAAAGTGCAGCTGTTGTATGAACAAATAGGACCAGAGGCAGACCCTAACCTGGCACCAGCAGCTCCTCAGCTCCAGGACCTTGCTAGCAGCTGCCCTCAGGTGGGTACCTTGGGCCCTTTCCTTGATGGCTCTGTGAGGATGACTTTGTCCTGAAGATGGTCACTTTCACTTGGAGGATTTCCTCCAGTCCTGGAGCAAACAGGTTCTTTGGGAAAACCCACAGCTCCTTTGGTCAGTGGACAGGTTCAACCTATCCTCGCTGCTCCCAAGTGTTCGATACCACATGGAGGCCTGGATACTCTCAAGCTGTTTTTGCCTCACAGGGCAGAGTATAGATGAGTAACCTCTTACAGTCGCCCTTGAACTCCCCTGTCCCCGCCACACATGCACAAATGAATAATAATGAATTGCACCCAAATGAGAAGCTTCTCACCACTACTTTTGATGTGGTATTACTTTAGTAAATATCACAAGTGGATTATTCAGACTAAAAATACAATACTGCTACTTATCTGGTTTTATTTTGAGCCTATTTTCAGTGCATCCAAGAGGATTATAGTTCAAGGCCCACATGAAGGCAATGGCCTCCTGGCGACACCAAGAGCCTTTGCTCTAATACTGACTAGGTAATTGTTAACTAGAGGTAATACATGCATGAATGTTCCGCAGAGTAACAAGCCCTTAGCCTGCTGGCTCTGTAAAAGCTTTGAGTATTATGTCTTAGGGAGTTGGGATTCCTCTTGGACATTTGCAAAGGTGCTTCAGCTAAGAACTGAGACGTTTTTCCCCATGGGGAATTGAAAACTGTTTCCACCCCCTTGCTCCTCAGGAGGAAGTTTCTCAGCAGCAGGAAAGCGTCTCCACTCTCCCTGCCAGCGTGCATACTCAGCTGTCCCCACGGCAGAGCCTGGAGACCCAGTACCTGCAGCACAGACTTCAGGTGGGGTCCTTCTTCTTGCAAGTCCATCTCACTCTGCTCATCCAGAATCTGTCCTTCTGCAAAACAGAAACCTGTTTTGCCTGGCATTTATTTAGGGTAGCTGCTTGATTCCTTATAGGCAAGTAGGTTTGACTCTGGACTTGTAGTTTCTGGAAACATGCAGATTCAGCCTTATGCTCTGTGTTGGTAGTGGAAAAGGCAGAAAGGCTTTGTCCTCAGGCCCCTCGAAGGGATATGCCACTGAGGGGTAGGAACGGGAAACCTGGCTTCTTTGTCTCTAATTATATTCCACTTAATGAGTAATAAATAAAATGAAAATCTTACATCTGCAAATTTTCTACATGGGCTTTCTATGTTGGTGCATAAAAATCTTAAAAAGTGATAAAGCCTAGATCTTGCAAAGAATGAATTATTTATTCAGTGGGTACTGGGGCTTTCGAGATCTAACTCCACCTTCCTCATTGCTTTTTAATGTCCATGAGTCTCTTAGTCCTAGTGGACTTTTGGAAATGGAGTGGAAACTGAAGTAGGTGAGATCTGAGATGGCCCAGGCCTGCTGGCCCAATGCTCTTTCGGGTCTCAGAGCAAATGGCAGTCCCTTCCCCCATGTGGATTTTGTAGAATACAGTTGGATTCATCCTGCAGGCAGAAGCACATCTGATGACAGCATCCTAGGTGACAGCACATGTCACGCTCGTGTTGTTTTTCTCCTCTTCCAGAAGCCCGGCCTCCTGTCAAAGGCACAGAACACCTGTCAGCTTTATTGCAAAGAACCACCACGGAGCCTTGAGCAGCAGCTGCAGGAACACAGGTGAGAAGGGGGCTTTGGCCAAAATTTGCTTCCTTTTCTGGAAGCCTTGAGAATGCTGAACGTGATGTCCTTTCCCTCTCATATTCGCCACTACTAAGAAAATAGGTTTTCCGCATCTGCCACGGGCCCTGTGAGCATGATTACTCAGAGGATATCTTAGCATTCAAGGAGGACTGCCGTCAGGCAGTGGCAGCCCTAGGGTGTACTTTGTTTTCCTTTTCTTCTGGCATTTCCTCTTTGGGGTATGACTAGCCCCAAGCTTTCACAATCAGTGGCCCAAAGCCATGGAGGTGGGGTAGGTGGCAGAGAAGCCTTGTGTCCTCCTTACTGTCATGTGTGCCCATGGGCCTCGCTAGTAGAAGGAGCTTGGCCAAGGTAGAGCTCCCCTAATCAATCCATCAACTGCAGACACTGTGTGATTCTCTCCCCTTCCAGCCTCTCCAGAAGGGAAACTACCCTTTCATTGTATAAAGAGAAAAATTCGGAGTTGAGAAAATGCATTTCTGCTCACATTGGCACGGAAGGAGCATCAGAGCTGGGGGACAGAAAATGAGATTAGGTTTAAGGAAACTCAACACAATGGGTTCCCATTCCCAGTTGTTTTTGCTGACATGAGAAAGAGAGACCTAAATAGAGGACTGAAGCTAGTGACTGGTATTGCATTTGCATTAAAATTGCCATCACTTGAGAAGACTTAAAATTCTTTCCTTTGATATTACCAATTTAGGCTCCAGCAGAAGCGACTCTTTCTCCAGAAGCAGTCTCAACTGCAGGCATATTTTAATCAGATGCAGATAGCAGAGAGCTCCTACCCACAGCCAAGTCAGCAGCTGCCCCTTCCCCGCCAGGAGACTCCACCGCCTTCTCAGCAGGCCCCGCCGTTCACCCTGAGCCCGGTCCTGGAGCCTTCCTCTGAGCAGATGCAATACAGCCCTTTCCTCAGCCAGTACCAGGAGATGCAGCTTCAGCCCCTGCCCTCCACTTCAGGTCCCCGGGCTGCTCCTCCGCTGCCCACACAGCTACAGCAGCAGCAGCCACCACCGCCACCACCACCGCCACCACCACGACAGCCAGGAGCTGCCCCAGCCCCCTTACAATTCTCCTATCAGACTTGCGAGCTGCCAAGCGCTGCTTCCCCTGCTCCAGACTATCCCACTTCCTGTCAGTATCCTGTGGATGGAGCCCAGCAGAGCGACCTCACGGGGCCAGACTGTCCCAGAAGCCCAGGACTGCAAGAGGCCCCCTCCAGCTATGACCCACTAGCCCTCTCTGAGCTACCTGGACTCTTTGATTGTGAAATGCTAGACGCTGTGGATCCACAACACAACGGGTATGTCCTGGTGAATTAGTCTCAGCACAGGAAGTGAGGTGGGTCAGGCAACGGAAGAGTGTATGTTTCTATTTTTATTCCAGCCTTTTCAATTTAAAGCTTATTTTCTTGCCCTCTCCCTAATGGGAGAAATCAAGTCACCCAATGGAATCAGAGGGCCTGCTGGGGTGGATGTTGCTTCCTCCTGGTTCTGCCCCACCACAAAGTTTTCTGTGGCAAGTGCTGGAACATAGTTGTAGGCTGAGGCTCATGCCCTAATGTCAAGTGGAGCAAGCTCTCAAGGGAGGCACTGACAAATGTGTTCCTAAGAAGACATTCAGACCCAGGTTTTATGCCGGATTACATCAGTTTATTATCAAGGGCAACCTTGGTGAAAGCAGAAAAGGTGTGTGCTATGGCATATATGTGGGGGAAAAAAGGCAATATATTTTTTCACTGAAGGTGAGCAACAACATATTGCTACAAGGCAAATCAAGAAGACATCAGGAGATCGGGTGCACAGGGAATATAGGAAAGCTGTGCTTTGTCATTGAATCCTAAGTTCTTACCTGCTGATGCAAGTTATCACCCAAGGCCATCACAAAGCAGTGGATCGGGGCCACTAAATAACAGCTGGTACCCCTGAGACCACCTTCATGTCCATTCAGGAGCAGGTGACACACCTCTTCAGAAGGTGCCCTGGGTTGCCGAGTGTCAGAATGTACTCAGGACTCCAAAGGTGTCACACGTAGAACTGACAGGAGACCTGCCACAGTGGAGGCAGGGGGCAAGAAACTCAAGAAAGCATCAAGAGCACCAGCCCTGGGCCAGGGAAGGCAGGCTCTTCCTGCAGTCTCTCTTGGACACTGCTGGCTTGGGGGCAGTCGGTCTCCAGGGTACCTGTTGTCTCTTTTCCAATGTAATAACTACTTTGACCTTACACTATATGTTGCTAGTAGTTTATTGAGCTTTGTATATTTGGACAGTTCCATATAGGGCTTAGAGATTTTAAGGACACGAAAAATGAACTTTTACGTCCCATGTGAAGTGGTAGTGCTGTGCCTTTCCCCCAGATCATGCTTTAATTCTTTCTTTTCTGTAGAAACCAACAGTTTCCATTTATGTCAATGCTAAATCCAAAGTCACTTCAGAGTTTGTTTTCCACCATGTGGGAATCAGCATTCTTAATTTCCTTAAAGTTTTGACTTGTAATGAAATGTTCAAGTATTACAGCAATATTCAAAGAACCACAGATGTGTTAACCGTTTAAGCAGATCATCTGCCAAACTCGTTATATTACTAATAAAACTTAACCAGTGCTTACAATTCAGTCATCAAAGTAAGTGAAAAATAGATGCTATAGCTAGCTAACTGTATCCCTAGAAGTGATGAGTAATTTGTCATTTGGACAGTTAACATCCAGGTGTTACAAATTCAGTGTTAATTCAAAGATGATAGTTTCTGCCCTTCAGAATGGCTCGTTCCATCAGCAGATGAATGTGTTAAGCACAAAGCATCTTCTTTAAAGCACAGAGTCTAACTGATGCTGCATCTAGAAAACACCTTTAAGTTGCCTTTCCTCTTTGTAGTTAGTGTCCAGGCAGGTGAGGAAGTATGGAAAGCCTAAGGGGTTTCATTCTGGCCATGCGAACCCAGCCTCTACCGACGTTAGTAACCTGAGCAGTCCCTGTTGCTGGCCAGAGACTGCCTGGTCGCCAGCCCTCACCATGGGTGCCAGGACGCTTTGCAGAGGCACTGTGCTCGCAGTTGGACTCTGGATGTCAGTGGGAAAGGGCAGTATGGGGACTGTCATTTTTGTGATTTAATCATACACAGTGAAAATCCAGGAAGAATGACTTAAGCTCCTTCTGGGAGTTGTTTATTCCTACTCATGCTTAAGATTGATGATTTCGTGAAATAAAGAACATGATTTCATTTAAGAGATCATTTCATTAAGATCTCTAATCTGTTTCGAGTCTTTGCAAAATAGCCAGTTATAAAATGGGGCTTGATTTGTTTAGACTGAAGGAAGACATTTTCCCAAGATATACTACAGAAGTGCTGCTGCAATATTTGCGATATTAAAATGCCTTCCAGATTGAAAGTGAAGGCTGCTCATTTCAGAACTGCAGGAATGGTATAGTTACAGCTTGATATAAACTCCTGCCCCCCAACAATGCCATGAGTTGCTTAGTCCAGGAGACCTGGGAGCTAAGGCAGGATGGTTAGGCTGACAGATGAGGGACTGCAGAGAGGCTATTTGAAGGTTAGGGACCCAGAGAGAAATGGAGACACACCCTGCAGTAGCCAGGCCCATCAGGAACCGTCAGGCACAGCAGTGGTGTGAACACCGGCCTGATGCACAGCACGATCCCTCCTGCTGGAACCTGTGTTGTAAGCGCCTATTTGCTTATCTCATTTATTTCAAGCAGAAATCAATAAATTTCATAACCCTCTGTATTGACTGCAATGTAAGCTGCTGAGGAGACTGGTTCTGTTGGTCAGTCAGGTGTTTGCTCAGCCCTGTTTGATCACGTCTGCTGCCCTGTCCCCAACTTGTGACCCATGGAAGCTTCCAAGCAGTTTTCTCTTCATCAATACTAATATAACACTAAGAAGTCTTAGTACCACTCTTTCTGAGGGGCTACTCTGAAGCACTGACTTGCTTTCCAGTCTGTTTCACAGGAGCAGTGTGTACACTACTGTATCATCATCATTAGCTTCATCATCCTGTAAACCAGGCTCCTCTGAAGAGACTCTGGTGAGATGAACGTGAGGTAAAAATTTCATTTGGCAAAAAGTGCAATATGTGTGGTACTTTATTTTTTATGTTGTTTTAATCCAGGAGTATTAGTCTCTGCTCTGGGAGAAATGCACTAGCTCTGCAATTTCCAGCTGGGCAAGTGTGTCTCTAGTATTTCCATGCAACTGATATGCTGGCCCCTGTAAGGCAAATAGCACGTTAGCCCGACAGGAAGAGGTGGTCCACTTTCGCATTCCCAGTGACACCAACCATCCCCAGCTGCCCCCTCGCCACCTCTGCCTGCACTGCCCTCTGCCACCATGGGAAAAGGAGGAGGCTGATGGTCTACACCAACGACCTCCAGAATCCATGGGTGGGAGGGCACCAGGGCCCACCAGAGGAGTGGAGCTGGGGCTCAGGGACTGTTCGTGCAGATCTGAGCAAACCCCTTCTCTTCTCCATCCACCTTTGCCTCCTAGGAAAGAAAAAGTGGCCCTTTCTCCCTCAGAAATCAAGAACTCCTAAGTGTTTAAACCTGTCCTGTAGTCAGTGAATGGGACAGGAGCCCAGGACTGAAGCCAGCCCTCACCTCTCGTGCCCCTTACTGACTCTGGCCCTGGAGTAATGAGGGGCTCTGTGCGTTGATGGGGAGCAAGGGGGAACCCTCTGTAGGAATATCAGCCTCTCCCCTGCCCCCTACCCTCTCCCATTGATCGAAGGCCCCCGCGGAAGAGACTCCTCCTGAGACCGACTCCCCAACCTCCACCCACACACCAAGTGTCATCAGTCCTAAAGGCAGGGAAACGCTCACAGAATTCTGCCCATGGGTTAGACGTGGGGAGAAGGATATTCCCAGCTCAGGAGTGATTAGGTGATCAACCAGAAACTAAGGCAAGGTGACAAGCAGCAGCCTGGAGTCACAGTTGCTCAGGGTCCCAGGCATGTGGGCACCAGAGCAGCCTCTGGAGCCACGCCGGCAGTTAAGGATGCAAGGTCAGAGTGAGTGAGCAGTGCTCCTTCTGTGGGTCCTCCAGCCTTTAGTCAAGCCCCAGGTTCATAAATGCATTTGGATTACATTTTAAAACCTGTACCAATAGTCACACTTAAGCTCCCTATTGGCTTAAAGAAAATTCATACTCCAGATAACTTTTTCCCATTCAACCTCCTGTAGAGACAATACGCAGTATCATTTCACAGTATTGGTCCCCATGAACAGTGGCTGACCCCAGCACTGAGTGACTTTTGCTGCACTCGAACCCCTAAACAGCTGTCTCTACTGCCTCCTCAGAAGCCACCCAAGCCGCTCAGTCTCTTGGTGCCTAGACATCAAAGGTGAAAACTGGAGAACAGGGAGGGTCATAAGTTGGAGTCATTGTACAGGTAGGGATCTTTGATCATTTTGTTGCTTCTGGGTTTTTGTTTTTGTTTTTTATCGAGATGGAGTGTCATTTTGTTACACAGGCTGGAGTGCAGTGGTGCAATCTTGGCTCACTGCAACCTCCGCCTCCTGGCTTCAAGCGAGTCTCCTGCCTCAGCCTCTCGAGTAGCTGGGACTACAGGTGTGCGCCACTGCATCCAGCTAGATTATGTATTTTTAGTAGAGACGGTTTCACCATGTTGGCCAGGCTGGTCTTGAACTGCCGACCTCAGGTGATCCACCCCCCCTTGGCCTCCCAAAGTGTTGGGATTACAGGTGTAAGCCACCACGCCCAACCTGGAGTTTTTTTTATAAAACTTATCTTCAGAGCGATGTATGAAAGACAAGAGCAGTATCCTCTGCCTGTTTCTAAACTAGACAAAGAGATTTTCGTAAAGTTTCTGTCTCCCTCCTGACAGGTTCCACAGTGTGGTCTGAAGCACCTGTGATGTCAGAGTTCTTGTCTGGTTCTTGGTGGCGGATGCACAAAGACAGTGGAGCCTTTCACCTCCCAGTAGCCTGTCACATAGTTATTTTCCCATTTTTTTTTTCCCCAATTAAGGTAACCTGGCTGATTCTCAAAGACTTTAAAGCTGGTTGGGGGTGGTGGCTCAGGCCTATAATCTCAGCAATTTGGGAGGCCAAGGTAGATGGATCACAAGGTCAGGAGATCAAGACCATCCTAGCTAATATAGTGAAGCCCCATCTCTACTTAAAAAAAAATACAAAAAAAAAGAAAGAAAAAATTAGCCAGGTGTGGCAGTGCACACCTGTAGTCCCAGCTACTCAGGAGGCTGAAGCAGGAGAATTGCTTGAATCTGGGAAGTGGAGGTTGCAGTGAGCTGAGATCGCACCACTGCACTCCAGCCTGGCGAGAGAGGGAGAATCTGTCTCAAAAAAAAAAAAAAAAAAGACTTAACAGCCATCCTAGGTGCACCCCACAAATCCGGGCAGGTTTCAACACATCAGCAGACTCAGGCACAGACTGGGGCACAGATAGAGAACCAGGCGGCAACACTGCCTGCAGACTCACCCAGGGAGAGCTTTGATGGGTTCTGCCGGATACTCCACTTGCCCACCCACAAGGGAGCAATAGCATGTATTTGTACATTAGTTTAACCAAACACCTTCATAAGCAATCTCTTCTAATCCTCACAATAATCCTATACAATGAGTTGGGGGAGACACTGTCCTTATTTTTCACAGCTGAAGAAACCAAAGCTCTTGGAAGTTTGTGACTTCTCTGAGGTCACAGCTGGTGAGTGGAGGAGCTGGGACAAGCGCTTGGCTTGACTGGCTTCTGGGTTTGGTGCTCTGCAAGAAGCCCTCTCTTTCCCCTCTTTCCTCAGTAGCATCTGACGCTTTTCACAAGCAAACAGCTATATAAACAAAGCCCCCATTTTGGTCAAGCACAGGGCGGAAGTGACATTGTTCCTACGACCTTATTCTCTACTCAACAGCCACCTGGCTTTGGGGGAGAGGCTGCCTTCAGGTGACAGTGCAGCTGTCCAGGTGGCCATGCAATGAACCAGGCTGAGAGAGACAAAGTCCCCACAGACCCACCTGCCCTTCAGCATCCAGTTAACTGCAGAAGTTTAGGCTCACCTCAAAGATGTCTACTATTCCCGTTACAATATAGCAGTTTCCTACAGAACACGCCCCTCCTCGATTGCCAAGGAGCTGCATTGCATGGCATCGGGCCACCACTGCCGGCCAGCAGATTCCACCCCAGGAATGGTCATGAACTCAGCCTTTGTCTCAAGGAGGGGTGTAACATTTCCTTACAGTCAAGCCCCATCAAACAGAAGTGCTTATTAGATACTTTTAGGATTAAAAAAGTAATAGCAGACTTTGACTTAATACTGTCCTTTCAGAGGCAAAGGGGATGGGTGGGGGGAGTTTTAAAAATAGAAGTTCAAAACAACATCCTGGAAACATATGACCCCAGACGGAATAATGTCACATTCCCCCGTGCAGATAACTGGGCTGCTGCTGGCTCTCTGGTGCCTGTCTGCTGAAGATTTGCTCAGTCAAGGAAATTCAAGTGGTGAGACCTCTCCACCATGGGTGGTAAAAGAAACCTGCCTTCACCAAAATCTCTGAAGGGGAAAGAAGCAGAAAGGTTTGCTTCACTTTGGGGACTGCAGTTTGAGAAATAAAAGGGATACAGAGATATTTGCACTTTGTAGAAAGGGCAAGATTATTTGCTTATATCTGAAGGGAGGAGGGTGGTTTTGCTGGATGTTTGGTCTGAAAGAGTTACTTTTGATAAAGTTAATCTAATTGTAGTTATTTTTTCTGTGTGCTTTTTTTTTTAATTACTAAGAAAAAAAATGGTGAGTTCAATAGCTTTGGTATTTTGAGTGCAAATCATAATAGCTCCAATGTGAATACAAATCAAAAGTGTAACCTGTTCAATGTTAGAAAATTGCCTAAAATGCAGTGTAACAAATAATCTTTGTACCAAATGGTAATTTAAATGGGGTAATTTTCTGCAAGGAAAATGTACTGTTTTTATGTTTCCAACCCTCTTGAATTAAAATAAAAACAACTTGTTTTCTAAGAGCCTGGGTGGTGTGAATGTCAGGCTAACACGATAGGGCTTCCGCCTCATCGGGCCTTGGGTGGAATTTTTAGAGTATGGAAGAGGGCTGTGTTCTCTGAGCTCTGGTGCTCATTTCAGGCTGCAGAAAAGGACAGCGGATAATATGTTCTCATTGACGTCAGCAGGGTAAATAATACCTTGCTCCAAATCGCCTGAGTACACGTTAGCCGCTGCAGATCGCTGACGGAAGCACTGCTAACCGCAGCCTGCACAAGGACAGGGCCCCACTGGGCACTGCTTAATTACTGCTCCTTGATTCTCAGAGTCCCAGGGCAAAGCCCATTGGCCCAGGTAGTCTGGGCAAGGGCCTCGTGCTGCAGTAGGAGGAAGGGCGGCAGATGATGCACAGGGCTCTCTCGTGGGGCTCTCCGAGGACAGGCAGCTGCAGAGCAGGGGATGGAAATGGGAAGGGGTACTGCAAGCTGCCAGGCAAAAGACTCTGCTACTTAGTCACGATGTCACATCTTCTCTGAGGTCTGCCAAAGGCCTCGACACCACGTGCGCACGCGCGCGCACACACGCGCACACACACACACACACACTGCACGCCCTCACAGAGACAAGCACCCTTTTGAGGCCCAGCTCCGTGCCCTCAGGGTGCTGGAGACACCATAAGCCATGCTGTTCTCCTGCGTCCTGGACCTGTTTCAGTGCCAGGCCCAGAGTGAAAGGCCACTGTTATATCCAGCTTGCTGGCAGCAGGGTCTTGACTGAAATTTGGTTTCACTAACACCATTTCAACTGAGCCCATGCTATAGAACCAAGACAGTGCCTACCCTGCGGGGTGGCGGTGGGAGGGTGCAGTCAGCAGGGCCCACACTGCCAGAGGCTGGAAGGAGCAGAGCCTCACCAACTTCCACTACTGCCCGGCTCCACTGACAGTTGCTCAGTCCTGCCTTAAACTGGCGGTTACCCCTTGGCTACCCAAAATTTCAGTATTGCTGAGTTTCATTTCTTTTTTAAGGAAAGCACTAAATTTCCGTAACGATGTTTTGCAGACTTTTTCCTTTCCCACCAAATTTCTCCATTCTTATTCTGTGTTGCCAAAAACAACTCCAGTGCCCCAGGACGCAGGCAAAATAACAGACCAGCGGCCAGCCAGGCCCCAAACCCGCACTCCCCAGGACACCCTTCAGTTCTGCGGCCTTTGTGAGTCGAAGGCTCCACCAGGATGGGGA